TCCTTTCTCATTGATGCCTATTAGTCTCACATTGTTCATCTTTGCATCATCTTGCAGGTGATGAATTATTCTTTCCTGCATCCTTGTTGTTTTTAAGAGAGCCTTTCTTACCTTTTCACTAGCTACACCAGCATCTTCATGATCTGAAACTCTGTCTTCACATTCATTTAAACAGTTTTGCAAGCTTGTGATTGAGAGTTTCATTTCCTCCATATTTCTTTGACTCTGCCTCATGCGATCTATTTCTTTCCTTAATTGCTCATCCAGGGAATCCGTCATTTTTCTAATCTCTTCTAATTTTTTTTTTATCAATATCTTCCTTATAAGCAGTTAGAAATTCTTTTACTGCGGTGTTTATCTCAGATTGGGTTTCCTGCTTATGTTTCTGTAGTTGCTTCTTTACTTCATCTGCTACGAGTTCTGAGAGTTCTTTCTTTATTTCAGAAAAGAGTTGCACTCTGATTTCCTCTCTATCTTTCTGCTGCTGCTTATTTTCTATCGACACTCTTGATTCATGCATTTGAGCCGAGCTAGTGTCCTCCGCACTTGTTCAGGGTGGGCACTGGGTTGCTTCCATATGTTTCTGCATTTGATTCTTTAGTGCAGATGTTATTAATTCAGGGATTTCTTTTTTCATTTGCAATCTGAGGTCTTCTATATCTTTCTGCAGCTCTTTTATTTCAGACTCTGTTGATTCATTGCTTTCAGCTGTGTGTTTTCCAATTTTTTCCGTGTTAGTGTCCTCTGCACTTGTTACGAGTGGGCTTGGGTTGTGAGGTTGCATTTTGTTCCTTCTCGTCATTTTGTGTAGCACTGTCCTCTGCCCTTTGTTGTAGGTCTTTGCTGTAGTTATAGCCTGCACTCGTAGTGAAGTTTAGGTGGAGCTCTACAGAGTTTGGACTTATTCAGCTGAGTCTGGCTTAGGTCTGGCTGCTGTGCTCAGCTCCTTCCTGCTGCGGACCAGGGCTAGGACTGGGTCTGGGCATTCCTGGAACTCAGCAGAAATTCCTACTGGGTGTGTACTCTGCACTTGGTATGGGTGGGCTTGTGTCTGTGCTCGCAGTTTGCTCCTTCTCATTGACATCTTGAGTAGCACTGTCTTCTGACCTTTGTTGCAGATCTTTGGTGCAGTTATAACCTTAGCACCTACTGAAGTTCACGTGCAGCTCCACAAAATTTGGATTTATCCAGCTGTGCCTGGCTTGGGTCTGGCTACTGTGCTCAGCTCCTTCTTGCTGCTGCCCTTTGGAGTGAACCCGTTGTGCCCCTCTGGCAAGATGTTCTGCTCCTGGTCTAGCTAGGTAGTTCTCTCCTCTACACTCTCTGTAGGTATTGCAGCTGTACAATTTCACCCCAGGCCTGCATGCCAGGTTTGAGCTGAATCTGGAGGGGACATGGTGGAGATGGGTGTAGAGGCAGCTCTCCCACGTATTCACTGGTCCTGGACTAGGACTGGATCTGGGGGTTCTCGGAAGGAGGCAGGAATTCCTACTCTGTTGGAGGGGTGTGAGGGGGTAACCTGGAATGATGGGTGGTGTTTCAAGATTGTGAAAGTGGGTGTCACCCAGGCTGTGCCTATCCTGGGACCAGTAGGTCTGGCTGGTGCTGGGTAGCTGGAAGTTCTCCGACACACTCACTGGGCATGGGCAACGAATGGATCTGGGGGTTCCCAGAATATGGCTGAAATTCCTACTGGCCATTTGGGGTGGGGAGGTGCTGCGGAGTGTTGGGTGTTGTCCCATGGGGGTGGAAGAGAATCTCACCCATGCTGCACCTGGCTGGGACGAGTAGGTCCCGCTGGTGCAGGGTAGCCGGAAGCTGTCCCACACACTCACTGGGCCTGGGCTAGGACTGGGTCTCTCCAGGCCTTTTAACTAGAATTTATCCTCTGATCATCATTTCCCTATCAACCCTTCCCCCCACACTGTTGTCCTCGGTCCGTGGTAGTTCTACTCTCTACTTCTATGAATTAAACATTTTCTGACTCCATTTATAAGTGAGGTACTATGTGATAATTGTTCTTTTTATTTTAAATAGAAAATTACAATAAAAACAATGATGCAGAATTTCAAAACAATAGAAAATTAACATTGGTTATTAAATTGCGTCTTGTCAACTTCAAAGTATTTGCTCAGATTACAAGATACAGGTATCCAAATTGATTAGACAATATTACCACATACTCTTAGTTTCAAAGAACTAATAGAAATTAGGCAAATATAAGATGTTTGAAATGCAATGAGATAGTGAGGTTAGATTGATAGCCTAAATCATTTGATAATAACAATAAGCTTTTCTTCTGGATGGGTAACAACCTAAGTTTGCAGACCAAAATTAGAGAAAAAGGAGGGCT